GGGGGGGCGAGGGACGCTCACTCGGTCAGCATGGGGGAATGGCCGGAAAACGCCGGCCAAAGAACCTGGCCCGGCCATTGGGACGCACGAACTCCGCACAGGCGGCATACACCGCCGCCGTCTTGCCGATGCCCGAGGGGCCCACCAGTACCAGCGCCCGGAAGGAGGCGGCCGTCGGCGGGTCCACCAGCGCATAGAAGGCCAAGCCGCCGGCATCCGGCGGGGTCAGCAAGGACCCGGAGCTCACGGCCGGGCCGACCTCCGGCAGTCCGCCATACAGGTTCCAGAATTCCGCACCCAGGCCATCATCATCCTCGGAGGAAGACGACGGGCAGGCGGCCGGCGCCTCGGCGGAGGCCGGGTCACCGGGGGCCGTTGTCGCCGCCTCCACCGCGGCGGCCGGCGGCCCGGCACTGGCGGCAGATCGGGTAACCATTCGCCCGGTGGCAGGACGCTCCGGGCTTGGCGCCGGGGCCACATGCAGCCCACCGTCCCCGGCCCAGGAGGCCAGCCAGGTGTGAAGCACGTGTCGGCAGTGCTCGGCAAGCAGCAGCTCGCTCACGGCCTGCGGCGCCGTGCGATCCACCAAAAGCAGCTGCCTTGCCGGGTCGCCGCCGCCGCCGCCGCCGCCGCCGCCGCCCAGGGACACAGGCGCGTCGGCCAGATCCAGGGCTGTCAAGATGGCCACATCACCCGGCGCGGAGGCCAGTGCCTCCAGGCTCCGGCGCGACCGCAATGCCAGCTGGTTGAAGCGCTCCAGCAGGTCCTCGAGGGGCAGGGCCGCGGGAAGGAGCCGCCGAACAACCTTCACATTGTGGGCGGGCGCCCAGCGAGAGGAAGACAGGGGGGGGGGGGCCGGGGGGAGGGCGCGCGAAAAAAAAAAAAAGGCAGCGAGTCGAGAGCTGTCAGCAAGGCAACCACCGCGAAGGGCGAGTGGGCCGAACCGAAAAGGCGGGACGCACCCGCAGGGCATTGGCCGAGGGTTGCCACCGAGGGTCGGCGCTCTTCTCGGCCAGCCACCACCGAGTGATGCTGACCAGAGACACCGGGCGCGGGGGGGAAAGGCAGGAGCCGCGGTCCTCCGGGGTCGGGATGGGCCGAACCAGCGGCCAGGCGGGCGGCCCAGCAGCTGCCGGCGGGCCGGCCTGTCCTGGCGAGCACCCGGCCGCCAGGCAACCGGCGCACTTGCCATCAAGGCAGCCATCAGAAAAGTCCGAGTGGGCAAAGCCCCGCCAGGGCAGGCACGCAGGCGCGGCATCTTGCAGGCTGTCCGTCAGGGTGGTGACTTGGGCAGCGCGACGCGCCGCCGCCAGGGCCGACTCCTGCAGCAGCTTGAAGGCCGGCTGGGTTTTGCCCTGGTTCATGTCCAACAGAGCGCTGCCAGCGCACAGACAGACACAGGGGGTGAGAGATCGCCAGAAAGGGGGGGGGGGGCGGGGGGCGGGAGTCAGAGGACCAGATCCAGGGAGACGAGCACATGGTCATGGGTCGGCCGGATGCCACCCGGCAGGGACATACTCGCGGTTCAAGGCCTCCCGGTGAAGCTGAAGCAGGGCCGCACGCCGGCGCTTTTGCGCCGGAGTCAGGAACATGTCGGCGGTTTTGAAGAGCCCCGCGTCGTCGGGTTCGGAAAAGACATCCTCCAGGGCCGGCAGCCGACGCTTGGCCGCCGGGTTGTCCTTCTGTTCGGCGGGCGGCTGCTTGGCTGCCACTCCGGTCCCCGGAGCGGAGTCATGCTCAGGGTTGGCCGTGCTCGTGACGTCGGTTTGTATTTGAGGGGACCCTGCCGAGCTGCTTTCCAGACAATGCTGTTCCTGTTGCTGCTGCAGTAGCTGCTGCAACTGCTGTTCCTGTTGCTGCTGCAGTAGCTGCTGCAACTGCTGTTCCTGTTGCTGCTGCAGTAGCTGCTGCAACTGCTGTAGCTGTTGTAACTGTTGTAGCTGCTGCTGCTGTTGCTGCTGCTGCTGTTGCTGCTGCTGCTGTTGCTGCTGCTGCTGTTGCTGCTGCTGCTGCTGAAGTTGCTGTAGCTGCTGTAGCAGCTGTTGCTGAAGTTGCTGCTGTAGCTGCTGCTGCTGCTGTTGCTCCTGTTGCTGTTGTTGCTGTTGCTGCTCCTGCTGCTGTTGTTGCTGTTGTTGCTCCTGCTGCTGTTGTTGCTGTTGTTGCTCCTGCTGCTGCTGCTGCTGTTGCTGCTGCTCGCTGAGGGTTCGCTCATGCAGATGCTGCAAGAGCAGCATTTTCATGTGCCAATACTCGGTCTTCCCGGGGGAAGGGCACTGAACCGTGGCGCATGGGGGTTGCGTCTGGTAGATGCCTGCCATTTCGACCTCCATTTGTCCCTGCGTGGCGGGCTGGTTCGGGGACAGCACGGCCGGCTGCATGGAGGGCTGTGTCCCGAAGGGCGCACTCTGCAGGCCCAGGGCCGCCGGCATGCCTGGACCCGAGTGCGAGTGCGAGTGCGAGTGCGAGTGCGAGTGCGAGTGCGGCTGGGGCACAGGCAGGGGGACATGATGCGTCGAAGGGGGGGGATCCACCAGCGAGGCAGGGGGGGACAACTGTGGGGGGAAAAGCACCGGGCTCATCGACGGGCCGGGTGGCAGGATCGGCGGCATGTTCGCGGCGGGAGCCGGCGCCAGCATCATGGCCTCCAGAAAGGCCGATGGCATCGTCGGCAGCAGCGAGTCGACCATGGGGCCTGCTGGACCTTGAGACGGCATGCTGGCCAGGGACCCGGGCATTGCCGAAGGCCCGGGCGCCAGGAGCATGCCTGCGTTGCCAGGCGAGGCGAAGGGCGACCCTGGCGCCGGGGACGGTGAGGAAAAAGAGCCCATCGGCGAGGCGGCGCCAGCAGCGCCAGCAGCAATGGACGTCAAGCCGGTCATCGGCGGAGAGGAAGGGGCCTGGGGCAAGTGGGCCACCGACGGGCCGGGGCCTGTCGGTGAAGCTGGGGCCATTGACAGAAGACGGATCATCGGCGACATCGGGGCCATGAATGGAACAGACACAGGCCCCGGGCCAGATGGGGACAATGGGGCAGGCGAGGGCGACGACCCGGGCCCCGGGGGCGACCGGAGCGCCGGCGGGGGTGAAAAGGCAGCAAAGTGCCCAGGCCCCAGGTGCGGGGCAGACGTGAACACCGAGGCAGAGGCCGAGGGCGATGTGTACCCGAGTGCCGGGGGAAGCCCGATTGGCGAGGCAGGCGCGGCCGGCCAGCCGGATGGGAGTGGTGGCCCGAGCACCTGGGGCGATGCAGACGCCAAGGGCAGCACAGGCACAAGTGTCATTGCAGGCCCGGGGCCGCTCGCGGCCGCCGCCGGCAAGCTGCCAGCCCGCGGTGATACCGGGGTCAGCGGGGCCGGAGGCATGGAGGGTGGGCTCGACGCGAGTGGCATATCCGGTGGGGCTGGGAAATCCGATGCAAATGGCGGAGCAGCCCCAGCCGGCGATGCCAGCACTGCCAGCACGTCCGATGCAAGCGGCCCACCGGGCAATGCGAGCCCGGTGGGGAGCCCAGCGGCGGCGGCGGCGGCGGCGGCGGCGGCGGCGGCGGCGGCAGCGACCGGGGCCGTGGACAGGCCGGGATCTGGTAGCATTCGGGGGACCGGTGGCTCGGGCGCATGCGAGTGGGCAGCGGAAGCCACCGCCGCAGTGGGCATCATGGGCACACCGGGGCCCGCCGGACCCCCCGGGGGAGCACCATGCGGGCGGGAGGTGACCGGCTCCGCGGCTGGCGCCGGCGCCCCGGGCGTCTGCCCCGCTGGCCGGGGCAGCAATGCCAGTCCGGACAGCAGAGACGAGCCCGACAGGAGAGGCGACCCGGACACCGATGGCGGCCTGTATGCGGCAGAGGTGCCGGGCCCCGGCGCGGCCTCGGGGCCCGGGAAGAAGGATGCCAGGCCGGAAAACTGCAACGAAGGCACGCCGTCGGAGGGCCGGGGAGGGCCCGGCAGGAAGGCCGGCGCAGGGCCCCGCAGTGGGCTGAAGCCCATCTCGGGGTGCGGCCGGCTCGGTGTCCCGGGACCCGACGGCCCGGGCGGCG